GGTGGCATTGCAGCTCTTGCCTAGTGACCCTGTGGCAGCCTGGACAGGCCCGTTGTGTTTATGGCCTGGGGAATGGAATGGGGGTTCGGGAGTGAGTCAGAGTCTGCCCTCTTCAGCCACACTGTCACCCACCCACCCAAGCAAGGTGCCACGGAGCCCTCCTATTTTCAGTCCTGAAAGAGTTTCCAGACCAATTGGAAAATAGCTGGAAGCCTGTCTTTTCTTTTTTTTTTTCTTTTATTTAAGAAATGGAAGCCTGTCTTTTCCAGGGGTAGTGAGGAATTGGAGAGGCCAGGAAAGGGAAAGGAAGAGTCCAGGAAGGTTCTAAGGCCATTGCAGTAGCCCTTGGAAACACACTGGGGAGACCGACTGGCCGGGGTTGCAAGGTCCCTGGTGGGGGGTGGAATGAGAACCCGGAGCTCAGTGGTGCACAGGACCCGCTGCTCCGAGGCCTTCAGGCAGGGCTCTCTTATCCCAGTCTGACGTGATTTCCCCTCTGCGGTAGGGCCAGGTTGGGGCCATGGGTACTTGGCCCAGATTTATGGGCAGAGGGAAGTTTGAAGATAAATTCGTGGGCTGTTGATGTCGGTTTGGGTTGATATTTTTAGTAAAATATAATGTCCTTCTTTGTCTTCTGTAATAACTTTTTGTAAATATACATATCAAAATTTACCCAGAGCCTTCCCAGGCCATCGCCCTGCCATGACACTACATTCCCAGTCCTTTTCATTTTTTTCTTTTGAGACAGGGTATCCTAAGTTGCCCAGGCAGGCCTTGAACTTGTGATCCTCCTGCCTCAGCCTCCTGCGTAGCGGGATTACAGATCTACCACACTGCAGCCAGCTTGGTAAACAACTGTTGGCTTTCAATGGGTTCAGAGGACATTAGTGTTGATACCCCAGCTCTCTTTTGGTTGCTACTTTCGTGGAATACCACCTATATGAAGTCCTTCCCCTGGAGCGGTGTGTGTCTTTGGGTCTCAAGTGGAGAAGCTGAGGCTTATCATAATTGATTCTGTGTTTTTATTGTCCCCTTAACTAAAGAATCCAATCCATTTACATTTGAGGCAATTACTGCTAAGGGTGGGCTTAATTTTACTTCTGCTGTTTTGCTGTTTGTTTTCTTGTGACCTTTCCTGTGATGTTCCCCTCTCGGTTCTTTTGTGTTTGACTGATTTTTTTTCCTCATCTACTATTTTAATTCTCTTCTCTCTCCTTTTTTTTTTTTTTTTTT